CCTGCAGAGCTCCCCAGAAGTGCCTGGCTGATCACTGGGAAGTCTGATGCTGGGCTGGGTGCCTTGTTGTTTAGATCCAGCAGGACCCGGATTATGTCTGCTGGGCCCGCAAAAGGGGTTCCTCAGCTGTTCTAGAGGCCACGTATGCATCAGCGAAAGGAAGGATAATGATGGGATAAAAGTTGCATGTGCCAACCGATATGCGCAGATGCAGATTTAGAGCCACTATAATCTGAATGCAAATAGTGGGCAAGTCTGTTCCCGGGTGACCTGTGTGCGTGCTCAGTTTGCTATCCAGCAAGTGCCAACTGTTGATGGGCAACTTCAGAGCCCTTTCAAACTAGACTTAGACTGGGCAGCCCTTCAAACAGGGGATTGTCTCTGTAAAACAGGGCATACGGCCACCCTGAAATGCTGGTCTATGCAGTTGTTTCTGTCTCCTCCTTCAGGAAGGGCTAGGAAAAAACTGTGCATGAAGTCCTAGACAGCCACTGCCAGTCGGTGTCAGCCAGTGTGGTGTAGTGGTTCAGAGCACAGGACTGGGACTCAGGCAAACGGGGCTCTAGTCCAGCTGCATGGATCCAACTAGGTGACCCTGGGCCAGTCACAGACTCTTCGCCCCACCTACCTCACAGGGTTGTTGTTGTGGGCATAAGACTGGGAGCAGCAGGAGGAGAATGATGTAAGCCATTTTGAATTCGTTGGAAAAAGCAGTATAGAAATCTAATGAATGAATGAACAATCGAGCAGTACTGGGCCAGTGGTCTGTCTGGGAATAAAGCAGCTTCCTGTGTTTTCATTTGCACTCACCCCAAGCCCAAAAGATATACCATACATCATTCCAATCTGAAGGACGCACGGGCTTGTTGTCCCAATACACATGAACAAGAAGCAATACATCTGTGTGCTTTTCAAAGGGAAGTGCATGCATGCATCTTTCAAAACCAGCCCATCCTCAGTGTCCCTTATACTCAGGGCTCGTTACCTTAAGTACCAAATGTAAGAAGTCAGCACTCATTGTATTAGTAATTCAGAACAGGAGCCTGAGATTTTATGACAAATGGACAACAGAGGGGCTCATGTTTATTTAAGCATAATTACCATTTCATATCTTGTGCCCTTGAAATTGAATGAAGAGTATAAATCAAAATAAATACTGTTTCTGGCTCTGACTGGGAAGATACATAAGTAGTTTGGTTTTTAGGTTAATTTGGTTGTCTCAGAAACTCACATTAGTTTGCAAAACCACGCTTGCATTTTGCAAGAGTCTCACTCCTGGGTCCCTAGACAGAAAGTGGGGCAAGTGATAGGGAGAGAAAATTCTGGAAAAAAAATCTTATGGGCTTACTCCTAATTTCCATTGGTGTGGTAAATAGAAAGAACACAGCTAGTAGCTCAGTCCTTAGTAGGAAGATCATTCTTGCTCCCTTTTAATTGCACAGAAAGGGAGCCTCCATCAACTTACAAGGTTGGAAAGCAGAATTCAAAGAAAGGAAAAAGGCACCTGTAATTAAGTAGGATGATGATGATGAATATGTTAATTGCATTCTTCAGTCACCTTTCCCTTAAAAAAAAAACCTCAAGCAGCTTACCAGAAGATTAAAAATTACTAAAGATGATTTCTGCTAAATACCATGATGCCATAAACAAGGAAAATGTCAGTGACAGCCAAACTGATAAATTAACAAGCCCATCACATGCTAATGATTCCCTAGGAAAGTGAGAAATTAGTGCTGAAAAGACCATGACATGTTGACAGAAGGCCACACTGGAGAGAGCATTCCATAATTAGGGGTAGAGGGGTGGGGAACTACCGCAAGATTAATGTATCCTCTAAATGCACTGCAGGAAACACATCGCCCATTCACTGATATGGAGAGCATTTGCCTTCTAGTTTCAAATTACCTAGTTATGGGCAAAAATGAAAAGCTGGCATCAACAAGAAAGGAATGTGAAACACCAAATAATTGTACATGTCATCTACCAAAATATTGTCAAAACACTGATTTGTGGAACATGAATGACAAACATTGGGAGAATGCTATTGTTTTTCAAATTTTGTCATGTTCCTGGAAGGATTTGGCCGGCTGCTGGTGGGAAGGGGATACCCACTGAGATGAACCTTTGGTATGATCCAGAAAGTTTCTTCCTGTTATGGCTTGATCATTATTCTAAAAACTCATTCTGAAACTTCATACATGGCTTCATATTTATCACCATCCAAAATCAGAAGATACCAGCAAGATGCCCAGGACCTTTCATTCCAAACCTAAAAATTAATAATCAGAATTTGGATTCAACTGTACTCATTCCAGATGTGAATTCAGTGTGCTGCAATTCAGTGTGTGTTTGGGCAGTGGTGCACATGCATCTTTTCACTGCAGTACTAAATTGGATTTGCTTAGATCATCCCTCCCCAACCTGTCATTCTTGATGTTTTGGAATACAGTTCCAAGCATAATGGCTAGGACTAACAGGTGTTAAATAACTGGAGTGTACCAGGTTGGGGAGGCTTATCTTAGATGGTTTGCCTAATGGGTGAGTTAGTGCAGAAAGCAAGGGCCTTGCGGGGCCATGCAACGATCCCACCGAAGCTACGATAAGCATAATGTCAGCATAAGTCAACCTGCTCTCTGAGTGCAGAGCTGAGAGTTCCGCTTGTCAGCCCACCCACCTCCGGAAGAAGTGACCTCTGCTGTGAAAGCTGCTGTGCGGTGGCTTGTTTCCAGCGCCACAGCACCAGTGTTGCAGGCATCTGCAACCTGGAGCAATAGGGTGGTAATCTTCTTGTGGTTTCTGCATATGAGTGCTCTAGCCTGCTTGGAGCAGCTCATTGTCCTCCTCTGAAGAAAGGCATGCTGTGATTAGCTCCAAGTGAGTACACGCAGGCAGAAATACAGAAGCTCACTTTTGCAGCCATTCATAAAAAGTGCAGGCAAGGATTCCAAAAAGTGCTTTCTAGTTTGCTTACTTGGGGACTTCGCACTGTTTGAATAGCAGATTTCAAAGATATTGTTCATTTCATTTAATTTAGTACTAGGCCTACCTGAGCATTTTGGCCACACTTTAAACAACAATAATAATGGTGAATTACTTGCAGCAAAGATCACTTCTTGAGTTTTAAATGTGCAAGCTTAATGTTGTGAGCCTTTCTTGGGAGTGTGTCCAACTGAAAGTAGGGAGACATCTCTGTGTAGGCTCAGGGTGCATAATTGTTGATGTTCCCAATCTGACATGGTAAAAGGAAGATAGTGATCTATAATGGGTCAACTCAGAAAGAAAGAGTCCCTGCATAAGGGCAGAGCAGCTCACCACCAACCACAGTCTAAAAGCAATGAACATTCATAGCATTCCAGTCTGATGAAACCAGTAAGCTCTTACTCCAGCGAAGAACACGTTCCATGCATTCATAGCAAATAAAGAGACAAGCATCTGCATATGCTAATAGCAATATAAGTAATGATAGTACAGAACAGAAGCATAATGCATATAAGAATGACCATCCATTAACATTTATTTAAAGCATACCAAAAACTGAAATAAACATAAAACTTACCCATTGGTCAAATGACAATATATCCTAGCAATCATCTTTCTGATTAAGCCATATCTTCTTCCCCACTACAGAGATAGTGCCTCCAAATGCAATGGGATTTCTGAGCTTTGCAAATAAGTAACTACATGACACACCCGTCACATGGATGCACTGAACTTGCACCTTTGGCTTTGCTGTCTGACGATTAATAACCATCTCACTACTTTCAGATATTGCTCTTTGGTGTCTTTATAGCTACCTGATAGCTGGTGTACTTTTTTTTTCTTCATTATTTCACCTCCCTCCCAACAAAAAATAAGCAGCGGAGGTGGGATGTGGGGAGGATAACTTGCTTGGCAGACATCAACAGCATGGCAACCCTGAGTCTATTAAAAGATATCGTGTTACTTAGTTTTTCTCTCCCCAGGCTCTAGTTTTAAAGAATAAGATCTGTAACGAATCCAGGTCCCAATCAAATGGGAGTATTTGAAATCTGGATCCGCGCATGCGGAGCGAGACGTAGAAGAGGGGAGGGAGCAGAAGTCGCGCCCAGACTCCGAGCATGCATCCCTCTGCTCAAGGGCTTAAGCATGCCCGTTGGGCTCCCTTCAGAGTTCCCAGGAGCTCGGGAAATGAGGGAAATCCGAAGGGTCTGATCTAGTTCTAGCATTTGGAGATTGCAGGTTTTTTTCCTCTGGCGATCGTGCTCTCCCTTTCGTGCCCGGGATTTGGCGGGCTTTCCTAATCCCCCCCCCCCCCCCCCCCCAGGTGCCAAACTCTGGCTTGTTCTCTTTATGGGTCAGCCTTCCCCGACCTGGGCGCGCCTTCCAGAGATGTTGGATTACGACTGAAAGGATCACCACTGGAGGTGCCCGGGGTCGGGGAAGTCTCCTCGTTGCATTCACATACGCTAGGCGGGGTCTCCCACGGAGGGGGAATTTTCCCCGATCCTTTAGATTGGGGACGCGTCCTCTCGCCGCCACCGCCCCTTTCTTCCTCCTCTTCCCTTTCCCCGGGAGGGGGTGAGCCGGGTTTGAGAAAGGGAGCGGGAATGGCTGGGGTGAGCATCGCAGCCGCCCAGGGTGGGATGCAGGCAGAGCGTAGCAATGCAGGAACCGCCGAGGGCTTGTTAGATAGGACCGTGTGAAATCAGGGGCTGGAACAAATCTCCCGTGAAGGTGATGAAGATGAAGAAGGACTTTATTCTTCATTATCATCATCATGATGAATGGGGTGCGTGCCCGGGAAGCAAATAATTTCTCAAGCCTCGGTAAAAGAGGACGGGCGGAAGAGCGAGGACACGACCATTACGGGCGGAGGAAACGCTGCTTATGGTCCGCCAGGAAAGGGGGCGTGGCGGGTGTGGGCGTGGCCGCGTCCCGGCGAGGGCGGGGCCAGGTGAAGGTTGTCGCCTTCGATTTATACTGGAAGCCAGAGTTCAGTCCTGCTTGGTCCTGGGCGCTCCTTTTTTGTTTTTTGTTTTTTTACTTTTGCTTTTTGCAGCAGTCGTTGGGAGGAGAAGCAGCGGCGGCGGCAAAAGACGACGGAACAGGAGACTTGCTCCCGTGTGTGCTTCGGAAGGCGGCTGCTTCGAAACGGCGAGGATGGTCCAGACGGCCGGGGCGCTGTGCGTGCTCGTCTTTTGCTTCCAGGCGGTCTTGGCGGTGAGTAGCCGCCCGGACTGGGAAGGTGGAGGGCGGCTTTCTTGTGGCGGGTTGGCGCTTGGCCGGCGTCCTGGAAGGCGCGGCTGCACGTGGTCAGGGCAGTGAAGGAGGGGGGAGAGCGAGAAAGACAAGGGCTTTTTTTTTTTTTTTTTAATAAGCCCTGCAGGAGTTTATATTGCTTTCTTTCTCAGAGGTCCCGCGGTCTTGGGGAAGGGCCCGGCCGCGCCGAGACCCGAATTCTCTCGGAACAATTGACTTGGAGGGAAGAGGGAGCCTCGCCGCCCCCTTTCTCTCGCCGCGCGCCCTCCCAGTGCCTGTAAAGCGGTTCCAGTTGGTATCTGTGGGGCACGGCGCACGTGTAGCCTTGCCTTTCTTTTTTTTTGGGGGGGGGGTCCCGCATCGCTTTTTCTAACGCACCTTTCCCCACCACACACACACAGGCACACACACACACAGACGCAGACTCTCTCGCACTCACTCTTCCACAGGTTCTTGGGGGAAGAGAAGCGACTTCCGAAAGTTCAGTTTAGGAGAGGGGCGTCTCCATAATAGTCTATTGTGTTGGCTGGGGGAATCCAGCCGAGGCTGCCCCCGAAGGCTTAATTCAAACCAGACCATGGAGTCTCATAACCTGACTGGAATTTTTCCCCCTTAGCCTCAAAGCCCCCTTCCTCCCTCGTGCTGCGCTCCTTCCACTCCCTCCCTCCTTCCCTCCCTCGTTGCTCCTCACCTCCCTGTAGTCAGCCGGATATTTGCCTTGTTCTTTTGAGCGGCGCGTTGCCCTTTCTGCTGGCTGGCTTTTCCTTCGAAAGACAGGTTCCAACTCGAGCAGAGCGCCGAGCTACATGCCCCAGGACCTGGCATGCCTTGGCCCGTTTCATGGTTGGCTTCGGTCCCCTTCTTCCCGCTCCCCATGCATGTAAATCGCTACTAGATTTGGGGTGTGCAAGACTCAGTGACCTCTTGTGGCATGCCTGCCTGCCTGAAACGTGGTAGCTGAACGGAGGTGAATGTCATGTCTTCATAGGAGGCAGTATGGAAATCAGCACAGATGGAACTTGTGACATATGTACAACACACCCGATTGCATTTGTTCCAGAAATGAGGTTGGATGGTACAACTGTGGTTTGCTAAGTAACCACCCCAGGTGCCTCACGCTCAGCTTGCCCGTGTTGCTTGAGCCTGTCAAGCTGGGAAAGAAGCAGTGATGGGAAATCATGCCAGTTATTATAATAATTCATTGATAGCCCACTTTTTTTCCCTTGTGAGGAACCCAAGGCAGTTTACAAAGCTTCATATTATCCTCACAGGAATATGAGGTGAGGTGGGTTGGGCTGAGAGGCAGCGACTAGTTCAGAGTCACCTAGTGAGCTTCATGACTGAGTTGAGGAATAGAGCCCAGATCTCCCAGCTCCCTGCTCTAGCCACCAGACCACCTCTTGGAAACAGCAGTTACTAGCCCTGTGGTACGATTGTTCTTCTCCCCAGTTTTCTGAGTTGAACTCCTACTAGCTTTACACTATAAAAGCACAGACTGGGTTCACACAACATGATAAGCCACAATGATTTATAAACCAGCAGTTTTTCCAGTTGGGTTAGGTTGGGTTAACCAAGTCCTAGAATCTAGTGCTTATCTTCTAACTTTGAAAGCTACAAGACACCTGGAAGAAGCAGAAAATGTTCGGTTTCCAAGACTGATATTGGGCAGAGAAAGAACTTATTGGACTAGTCCCTTAGAGGTGTATGGATTCTTAAAAAAGACCTTAAGGTTTTTTTTAAGTGTGCTCTTTGTAAGGGCCAAATAAATAGGGCATGGCTCTGATTAAAAGTGCCTAAAACAGCAGAAATGCACAACACCCAAGCTTGGAGGCAGAACACTAATAAGGCTTCAAAGAGCCCCCCCCCCCACCCTTTTTTGCTTGCACAACCAAGAGTCATGGTTTGCATAAGTGAGTAATTTCTCTGTCCCTTCCTCTCCAAAACTGTATAACCAAATAAACCGACATATAAAAAAGAAGAAAACTGGATCACAGTTGGGTAGTTTCTTCAACAGTGGACTTCATTACAGGTACCATTGCAATTAAGCATAATCATTAACTTTGTTGTGCTGCAAGGGATCATCAGAGGAAAGCATGGGTGCTTCTGAGGTGCCTGTAGCTTTCTGCCTTTGCACCTTTCAATGGAGGGAATTCTGTAGGGTTTTTTGTTTGTTTTTTTTGTTTTAATCTTGCTTTCTTTCAGTGTGCTTGAAACCAAAGCAGAAATCTGGGTGTTAATTCAGTGCTCAAAACTCACCTGCCATCTCCATGGTATTCTTTGTTGGTTGCTCACCACTGGTGTCCTTGTTATATGAAACTCTGCATTTTATAGGCATTCACACTTGCTTCATTAGGATTTATGAGCAGAAAAGGGTGCATAGAATTGCATCATTTAGATATTAGAAATGGGAGTTTACACTTCATTTGGCACTTTGTGATTGCTGAATCCATTACTTTGGAACACTTATTGAACTAACAAATCTGAAGACTGTGACTGTAGTCGCATCCCTACAAGCAACACTAGCCATTAAAACAGCCTGCTGATGTTTAAACTCTGGTGCCTACAGTAAACTTCATTACTGGTGTCTTCCCTAAGCACTACAACCAGCAGATGTCGCCACTGAATAAACAATATACATTACCTGTCTAATAGCCACTCCCAGAGTTTCTAACCTGACAAATTAACTTCATTTTGAAAATCCCATGTTAGATTACACTGTCCATCAGTGTAACTGCTACAACAGCATGCACCTGTCTCATACAGAGGTGATTCTATTTAATTTATAAATGATGAAAACTCGACACCCTGTGCCAAGGCTTTAAGAACTGCCTGTTTGTTCCAGTTTTTGCTGTTCATCCTAACTAGTTTGTGCATACCCAGTGGACTGACACACCGGTGGGACTCAGTGCTAGAGCAGTGGGGACCCTGTGGTTGAAAAGAGCAGTCAAGGAAAAGTGTAAATAATTTCAGAAATGTGACAGGTCAGCAGACCTTGCAGAAGGAAGACTCACCTGTCTTGATGTGGAAACCAGAGTGTCCAGGGTTACTTTTAAGCCGCTAGTTTTCTCCTGTCCCATGGTGGGTCCCATAAGTACAATAGAACAAGTGGGACCACTGTGGTAATATTGCATACTGCCCAACGTATTTTTTTGCTGTACTGGAGCTATTTAAGTAGCAGCTGCACTACCATCTGTCACACATGCTGTAGCTGTATGCTGCATTGAGCAGGAGTTAGGCTAAATGGCCATCCAGTTGCCTTCCAACTCTTGATATGCTACAGTTCCAGATTCGGAGTGCATGCTACTTGATAGATTACAGGTGGGTTTGTGAACTGACTCCCCAGTTCACAGAATCACAGAATAGTAGAGTTGGAAGGGGCCAGAGGGCCATCAGGTCCAACCCCCTGCTCATGGTTGGACTGCAGTTCAACCATCCCTCTGTCCGGTTGCATCTTGAATGCCTCTAGTGTGGGAGAGCCCACAGCCTCCCTAAGTAATTGGTTCTGCAACATCTGTTTGTAGTGATGTTAGGTGATATGAAATACCACTCTGTGTCTGATCTGGCAGGTCTCATGTACACATGCAAGCCATCTTGTGAGAATGCATGTATTAACTGGTGTTAAGGTACATTGGTATAGTTAACACTTGTTTCAGGCTAGACGCTGTAGGAGAATATACTCAGGTATACATGTTTAGAGACAGTATCTTAACTGTTGAATTTTTGTGGACGTACATCTGGAATAACTTTATCTGTTGAAGCTGTGTGTGTGTTGCACATGCAGGGGGCATAATTACTTGGCAAGCTTTGCAGCTAGATTGTACTTGTTTATAAATCATCCCTACCATAAGCTGCCTAGCTTCAACTTTATTTAGACTGCAAGCACTTTATCAAAAAGTAAAATGTATATGTGTTCCCAGAATGCCATGCTGCTTCTCATAGAAACATTCATGCACCTAAGGTTGACTTTGTGCCTATACAAGAGCCAAGTAAATGACCAGGTATTCTTGATGCTGAGTTCTTCAGTGCTAGCTGTAGACAACCCATGGAACCTTCCTGACTGTGTATAAGTTTGCACATAATGGAAGCCCATGAGTTAAACAAACAGGGTAAGCAGGAGAGAGTGGTGTGTGCTTGCCACCTTTGCTTTTAATCAACAACCTACAATTGACTCCTTTGTAGATTTTTGACCATGACATCTGAATTTGGATGGATGGGTTGTTTAGGGATTGGACAACTAACTCAACAACAACTGTTGCATTGGACTACCCCAACGACAAACTATGGGTTAACCATTGGGTGATTTAGCTCTTAAGGAGCTCACCCATAATGGGTTTGAATATCATGCTGAACAACCTACTAAGGAGTTGATGGTACATTGTGGAGTGAAACGTGAAGTAAAGGGTGCATTGTGGGCCTCTAACTCATGAATGGCAAGCCGTGGATTGCTTAAAAGGTTGTCATTACAAGTGAATCAGGTCTATGTTAGCTATCAAACTGGATTTATTTACTGAGAATATAGGTAAACCTTGTCTTGCCTTGCATATTGTGTCTTTGCAATCTTACATATTCGTAACTCATCTTAGGAGTTCTTTAGATATGTCACAATTAAGTTTTGTAGACTATGGATGGTCTTTCCTAATCATACAATACATACATTCATACATTCTTACAGTACAATCTGAATATACTATTAAATAAGTACCCACTGATTTCTTCAGTGAGGTGACTTGTGTCAAGGTGACTTTTTAGGACCAAAATGTACAAAATAAAATGGTTTGTGCTTGTGCCTTAGATCTAGTGGGTGAGTGTTCTTGACTCTATATGTTGGAAAACCCTGAGTTTTAGTAAGGAATGGGTTTTTCTGTAGACACCATTATCTGCAAATTGGATGTAGTGGCTTCCCTATACTTAACCATCACACTCACCCCTGATTTTCTCTTGCTTACAGGGTTGTGAAAAAC